TTTTTTTTTTTTTTTTTTTTTTCTTTCTCATCCCACTGAATAAAGTGTTGTTTGGGTAAATGATGTTTAAAAAATGTTTAATGAAGCAACAGCAAGCTTGGGAAGTGAAAGAAAAAAGATGTCCCTATTAAGTCCATTAGGTCAAAAGAAACAACACATATGTATAGTAACATCTTATATGACATGTCCCACTTGTAAAATTCATTGCAGTTTTCTCAAATATGTTGAATACTACTCAACTCCATATCTTAGCTGATTCAGATGAGCATGAAGTTGTTCAACAAGTACAGGTTAGTTTATATTTTAATGCACTCTAATTCTTGATTAATTCTCATGAAATTTTGCATAAGAAGGTTCTCTACTCTTGTAAATACATTTCCTTTGTTTACATTTGACACCATTATGATTATATTGTGCAGGAATTCTTTGCAGATTTTGTTGCAATTGACACCTACCATTTCACTTTGAACACACCATCAAACTATATGTATATGCTTCCTGCTGTTATAGATCCTCCAAATCTTCAAAACTACTGTGATAGAATTGTTGATGGACTTGCAGCAATCTTTTTGGCTTTTAAAAGGAGACCCGTTATTCGATATTCACAAACATCTGATATTGCTAAAAGAATAGCACAAGAAGCTTCCGTGAGTCTTCATCTTTCTCTTTCTCTTTTTCTAATTTTCGTTCCTTTAAACTTTTAGTCAAATATGTCTCCAAGAACTCTTCTATATTCTAACTTTTTCCATCAATTAAGTTTGATGATTCTTCTGAAATCTTTTGGGTATTAAGACTTTCAATTTTTATTTTTCATTTTCAGAAACTGATGTATCAGCAAGAAAGTGGCCTTTTTGATTTCAGACGCACAGAAATTTCTCCTTTGTTGCTTGTAATTGATAGGAGGGATGACCCTGTTACTCCTTTACTGAATCAATGGACATATCAGGTACAATCATCACGAGGGCATTTACGTCTTTTTTCCATTAATACTCATGATTCTTTTTATATTTTGTAGGCCATGGTTCATGAGTTGATAGGTATTAAAGACAATAAGGTAGATTTAGGAAACGCTGGAAAGTTTTCAAAGGATCAACAGGTCTGCATCCCATCTGTAGTTAACTATATTTCCATTAATGAGATGTTAAACAAGAAGTGATTATTTCTTTTTTGTTTCTGTTATATAGGAGGTTGTATTGTCCTCTGAACAAGATGCCTTTTTTAAGTCTAATATGTATGAAAATTTTGGAGACATTGGAATGAGTATAAAGCGAATGGTGGATGATTTTCAACAAGTGGCAAAAAGCAATCAGAATATCCAGACAATAGGTTTGTATTTAGTAACTAACAACTATTATAACAATACTAGTGATTAGTTATGATTATTAAGTATACTGTTTTTCTTTTAAGTGCAGAAGACATGGCTAAATTTGTTGACAATTATCCAGAGTATAGAAAAATGCAAGGAAATGTGTCTAAGCATGTAACTCTAGTTACAGAAATGAGTAAGATTGTAGAGGAAAGAAAACTCATGTTAGTTTCACAAACTGAACAAGAATTGGCTTGTAATGGTGGCCAAGGAGCAGCATTTGAGGTATGTAATGTATTCAATCTTTAAACTTGCATCATATTACTTTAGGGATTAGGGTTTAGGGTTTAGGGTTTCATGATGCATGATGTTTTTCTTTTTACTAATAGAAATGACTTATGCTTCATTCTTGAGTATTCAGAGAAATGAAAAGTAAGAAGAGAAAAGAAAGGATGATAATTTCTTTTTGATGTTCTCGAGTTGGAGATTAAGGGAGAGAAAGCTGAGAATTTTACAAATATACCCTTCATGTGTAAATTTAGACATTTATCTCCAAATCTCCCACATTTGATAGGAGAGTTTTGGATAGAAAATTATCATTTGTTACCTTTTTCTTCTCTCAAGAACACAATTTTCCGGTTTCTCTCATTTTCCTTATAAATAATTCTTTGTTTCTCTCTGAAGTCGTAAAGGATTAATGATGAGGGCATTCACGTCTTTTGTACCTACTTTTTTTTGGGTGGGACAAAAAACTGCAATTTTTATGTCATTGAGTAAAAAGGAAACATAGCCTAAGGATTTCTGTCATTCTTGATTTATACTTTTTTTTAGGGTTTAGGGTTTATATTTGCATTAAAAAGTAGCCACATTGAGATTTATTTATTTATTATTATTATTATTTTTTTGAAGGCTGTGACAAATCTTTTGAATAATGAAAGTGTCTCTGATATCGATCGACTACGGCTTGTGATGTTGTATGCTTTGAGGTATGAGAAAGAGAGCCCTGTTCAACTCATGCAGCTTTTCAATAAATTGGCTTCTCGCTCTCCCAAGTATAGGCCAGGGGTAAATCCGTCTTTTCACTATATTATTTTACATCATGGCAGGCATCTCTTGCTCTTGCTCTCTTTATTGTTGTTAGTTAACTCCCTGTTTTTTCAGGTGGATAAATCATATTCTAGAAAATATATGAGCATGTGGGAAAATGGAAGGAAAAATTATTGAGGCCAAATTTGTCATTATGTAAAAAAGAAACACCTTCTTTTTGTCCTAATACAGAACAAACTATACTTAATAACCGAGGAAGTTGGGGAAATGAGGCCTTCCCATTAAGTCCTAACTTTTTACCAATTTGCCCTTGTTTATATTTCCTTCATTCCCAAGTGTCATTTTCATAGAAATTTTTAAACACCAGTTATCCAATCCAAACAACACTTTTAAGGCTTATTTTATTTATTTATTTTTTCTCCATTAACCGCTGTATGGATTGTCTTTGCCCACAAAATCATGTTCCTTTTTTCCGAAATGAAAAAAACGACCATTTTACCCTTATGTCAGTATTAAATTTAAATAACAAACGATTGCCTATTTTATAAGTGTTATAAATATAAATTCTGATTAATTTTAATTTGATTGAAAATGACAGCTTGTACAGTTTCTTCTAAAGCAAGCAGGGGTTGATAGACGTACAGGTGATCTTTATGGTAACAGGGATATCTTGAATATTGCCCGCAACATGGCTCGTGGACTCAAGGTTTGTTTTATTATTTTTTATTATTTTTAATTTTTTAATAAATAAAAATAATAAGAGATTTTATTTCTTCACTTTTTCTGTTAGGGGGTGGAGAATGTGTACACCCAACATCAACCTCTTTTGTTCCAAACAATGGAGAGCATTACAAAAGGAAGGTTGAGAGATGTGGATTACCCTTTTGTTGGGAATCACTTTCAGCAGGGCAGGTTTGTAATTAAACCTAACATTCTTTATTTTTTTTGCAATTATTATTAAATTATTACTTAAAAATTAATTGTTTATTGATGCAGGCCACAAGAGGTTGTCATTTTTATTGTTGGTGGGACCACGTATGAGGAATCACGTTCCGTTGCTCTACAAAATTCTTTCAATTCTGGAACTCGTTTTATTCTCGGAGGTTCCTCTCTTTTAAATTCTAAAAGGTTACCTCTTTTCTTTTAAATATGGTTATTTTCATATTTAAAAATCACAACAAATTTGAAATTTAAATTTGAATGTGTAGGTTTCTTAAGGACCTTGAGGAAGCACAACGGATTGCTAGGTCAAGCACCAATGTTGTTTAAATTTGAAATTTATTTCAAATGAGGTTCATAAGATTGTTAGAATGTATATGATGTTTGTTGTCTCTTAAATACTTTATCTCTATAATCCCACTATCTTTTTTGATTTGTATAAATTCAAACCTTGTATTTCATACACTTACATCTTTTTATTTAGGCTTACACAAAAAACAACATATTTTCATTTTATTTCTTGTTATATTTGTATATTTTTTTGATACCGAGGAAAACCATATACGAGCCAAATTTGTAGGCCCAAGAAAACCAATGTAATAAATCATGATGCAAAAAAGTTTCAATGCATTATAGAAATGCACATACGCAAATATGACAACTAGCGTAAAGGACCACGATAAATATGCTAGATGAATACGTGAAAGCCTACAACTTTTGTTATGGTATTGTTAACGTGTATACAAACAGATTTATGTGCAAACCAACTTCCAACGACATTCAACTTTTGTACGTTTACATGCATCAAGAAATGGATTTCCTGGTATGCTAGGTAGCATGAATTGTACACATTGAGATTGGAAGAAATTGTCCAACAACATTGCTAAGACTCTACATATGAGGTGCTCATCGACACCCAATGATGTTACTTGAAGCTGTAGCCTCACAATATTTGTGGATTGACATGTATATTTTGGTGTCGTTGGTGGCAACAATGACCTAAATGTCCTATACCAATCGTTACTATTCATCGAGAAACCGCTTGGAATAACACCAAAATGTTCATTTCATTTGAATGGAGAAAAATACAAGCATATGTACTATCTTCCAGATGAGTTATACCCAAGTTGGGTAACTTTTGTGCATCCAACTACCGACAAAAAGAAATGGTTCAAGACGACACAAGAAGCAACAATAAAAGGACATAGAACGGGCTTTTGTATACTAAAAAGTCGCTGGGGGCATAATAAGACTCCCTACACGTTCAACGAATCAAGACATGTGCAAAAATATAATGTACACTTGTCTTATATTACACAATATGATACTAAAAGATGAATGTGTTGTTATATGTTCGGTACATGATGCTGATCTCCCCACCGATAAAGAAGTAAATGTAGATATGATTATGGAATTGCACGAACGAGAAACCCACCATCAATTTTGATCGGATCTTGTTGATCACATTAAATATGCTTGCATACTTCTCTCGATAACTAGTTTTTTTTTTAGAGTTTGATTATGGTGCAGGTTGCTTGCACTACATACACCTTTTTCCTATAGGAAGATTTTTTTTTAATATTTCCTAGAGTTTTGATGTTGGGCTTTGAATATGCCTTAATTATTTACTACTTATTATTTGATTTGTGATTGGACATCCCTAACAATTTATAAATATTGTTGCAGTTTTTAGAATATATTAAATTTATTTGGATTTTTTTGTTGTAGTGTATTAGAGATTAAGGTGATGTTTATTTTTTAAAAGATAAAATGTCTCTGGTCTTTTTCCATGTCTGTGGAATAAGATATGGATCAAAAGTATTTTTTTCACGTTTTTAGTCTTCATAATTTTTTAAAAATCTTCATAAAAAGATGTATGGTGTTGGTGGTGGCAGCGATGACAATGTTGGTGTTGGTGGTGTTGGAGGTAGTGACGGATGTAGGGGTGGTAGCGGTGGTGGTGGTGGTGGTGGAAGTGGTGCCAGAGGGGGAGAGGGTGAAGGTGAAGGTGGCGGAGGTAGTGGCGACCGCAGCAACAGTGGCAACAACAGATATATGTGTAGTGGTTTGTGGTTTAACGATTCTCTAGTTGACTCATCGTGCACTTACCACTATATGTAGTGATAAGGTTCTCATAACACCTGGTTTGCATTTTTATCAAGCTAGTTAGGGAGGATGGTATGATGTTAGATTGGAAAGGAGGTACCTCCATCATATGATTCCTTCCAAGGCAAAATAGCAGCGGGTTGGAAAAATGGGTTGGTTTGCGGTTTACGCAAGCCGTTCAAACTATTTTAACTATGTGCATTGATTACTTGTACTTCTTGCTTTAAGACTTGTACTAAAATAATTTTATATGTTTTTGAAATTAGTTTGTATATTTTTAATATTTTGTAAATTAGTTTTGTATAATTTTTATTAGTTTGTGTTTATTTTAAAAATAAAAATTGAGTGAGTTGAATGGATTAGGAAAGATAGAATTTTCATTTTTTATGGGTTGAGAAAGATAAAAAAGATAAGAAAAAAAAACTGATATAAAAATGGGTTGAGTGAGTTGGAAGGGAAACACTTCCTCTAAGTAATTATTCCAAAGTATTTTTGTATTGTTCACTCTAATCACTAAACATATAAAATATTTTGACCAGATTGTTTGTATATTTGTTGTTTGATTCATGCCACACTGTTATTTCATTTGTGGTCAACTTGTCATACAACTATCACATTAATCTAATATTATGTAAAGGGATAATGACTTAAAAGGGTAATATATTTTTCGATTTGTACATATTTGGTCACTGAGTTTTTTTTCCGTCCACATTTACCCCTTCAACTTGTTAAACTGTACACATTCAGTCCTTATGACCGGCTACTCCAGGTTAACCGGTAAAAATGACTTAAAAGGGTAATATATTTCTCATTTTGTACACATTTAGTCCTTAATATTTTTGTACACATTTAGTCCTTCATATTTTTGTACACATTTAGTCCTTAATATTTTTGTACACATTTAGTCCTTAATAATTTTTTTGTTGTAAAATAAGTCATTTTTGTTTTTGTACTCATTCAATACTTATGAATGATTTTCTTTAGGTTTTTCTCACGATATTTTACGTGAGACAATCATTAATGAGGTGTTTGGAACTTTTGATGCTTATGTCCATCGCAATCTTGACTACTTGGTTACTTAGATCATGTGTTTTGAACGTCATAACTTCTTCACACGATCTCAAATTTTAACGATCTTTATATCCATGCGTTCGTATTTTAGTCTACTACAATTTTCGTTTAGATTACTCTCGTTAAAAAGTAATATATTTTTATTTACGATCTTTATATCCATACGTTTTTATGAATGTATGTATGGATTTTTTTTATAAAATAGTAAGTAAAATATATTACATTTTAACGAGAGTAATCTTAATGAAAATTGTAGTAGACTCAAAAAACGAACACGTTGATATAAAGATCGTTAAAATCAGATATCGTATAAAGAAGTTACGATGTTCAGAAAACAAGATCTAAGCCAAACCACAAAACCTACGCAACCAAGCAGTCGAGATCGCGATGACCATAGGCATCAACAACCCCAAACACCTTGTTAATGATTGTCTCTCACGCACGTGAGATGTCGTGAGAAAAACCTAAAGAAATCATTCATAAGTACTGAATGGGTACAAAAACAAAAATGACTTATTTTGAAACAAAAAAATATTAAGGACTAAATGTGTACAAAAATATTAAGGACTAAATGTGTACAAAATGAGAAATATATTACCCTATTAAGTCATTTTTTCCGGCTTACTTGGAGTAACCGGTCATAATGACTGAATGTGTACAGTTTAACAAGTTGAAGGGGTAATGTGAACGAAAAAAAAACTCAGTGACCAAATGTGTACAAATAGAAAAGTATATTACCCTTTTAAATCATTATCCCTTATGTAAATCAAATCATAACGGTAAGTGCACCTTCGGCGAAACAATTTCAAAGTTTTATGTTAGTGTTTTTATTTTTAAAACAATAACTTGGTAGAAATTCAAAAACCATAATTATTTAAACAAGATATACTATTACAATGACATAAAGTTTTATAAAATAAAATTCTGGAAAAAACTTAAAATTGTAATTTCATGAAATATCGAAGGTTTCGCAAACATTAGCAACAAATATCAATAGAACTTCAAAATTTTAATAATCTTGATATATTGTCATTGAGAAATTAAATTGCTTCCTACTTTAGTATACCTACAAATATTCCTACCCACTACTATTATTACAAGTGTCATCATTCCATATTTTTTTGATTATCTCATTAACAGTATATTAGAAATATATCAAATCAAATTAAATTGATTAGTGAAATTGTGACACGTGTTATAATATTAATGGGTAGGAATATTTGTAAGCATAAAAAGTAGGAAACAATTTAATTTCTCATTGTCATTTAGTTGCGCTACGGGAGAAATTTGGTAAATTTTCAAACGCATGAAAATCACATCGAGAAAATGGAAAGTGTTACCATTAAATTTGACATTAAAAAAATATATTTAAGTTGCAAACAAATGTATTTTATTTTTTAAAATAGTAACAATTTTATACTTTTGGCTTCGAATTTAAATTTTTATTAAGGATTTAGTCCGAACATTAAATTCTCACAAATTTAGTTTAATCTACAAATTTATTTGTCTATGACTTTTTTAAAGACCTTTTTAGAATTTTTTACAACATTTTGTAAGATTTTTTTCTAAGTTTTTTTATAGATTTTTTTCAATATAAGGTTTTAAACTTGGGTTATAACTTTTTAAATTTGCTTTACATTTTCGTACAAGAGTTTTTAAACCAAATATTTTATAAAAGTTTTAAACTTTGCTTACAACTTTTTAATTATTATTATTATTATTTTTATTTTCATACTATATTTTTATATTCATACAAAGCTTTTTTTTACAACATTTTAGAATGATTCATAGATTTTTTTTAAACTTTGTTTATCACATTTAAAAATATTTTTGCTAAAAATAAGTTGTGTAGAAGTATAAAAAAGTTTTAAAAAATATAAAGTAATTTTGAAATGTTGTTTTGAAAAATTTATTACTTTTTATATAAACTTCTAGTTGACACGTGTAAAAAGATTGTAATTTTTTAAAAACATCTATAATTTTTTGTGAAAAGAAATTGTAATAAAAAAATTGAAGAAAAATAATTTTGTAAACTAAATTAAGATAAAATCTTAGAAAAAGGTTGTAAAAGACTTCTAAAATAATCTTTTAAAAATTGTAGAAAAATAAATTTATAAATTAAACTAAATTTGGGACCATTTTGTAGTAAAGTTAATACAGATAAAATTCATAATCAATTTAAAATTTGGGCCTAAAATATAAACTTGAAAAGAGGAAGGACTTGTATTATTTCTTAAATTTTGTAATAAAAATTAAATTTTGTCACATGTTATCTCCTCCAACCATTTTTTTTTTATCAAAATTAAATTACAATTTTATCCTTCTTCCATAT